ACATGATTAGTAAAATGATGGAAAATGCCATGATTGAGTTATACCATTACCTTTACCCTTTAGGTAGCGAATGTATGATTTACACACTTGTTTTTATCTTCCAATGGTCTAAATGACTACAAGAGACGACACAAAATATACATTTCAAGAATCGCAAGGCGATGTGTGATACACTCAAATAAAAAAAATATTACTTTTCTGTGAAAAGTAAATTATGCAATTAGCGAAGATAAATAAAACTATGCCAGTATTGATTTTTATGATGTGAACCATTATTTTTCACGTTTATTCTAATCACACTCATCTCTTTGATACCATTCTACTAGTTAACCATAAACTCTATAAATGTGATGGCTAAACCACCACGATTAACTACATGTAACTTTGTATTAGATACATACATGTACATAACTTAAATAAACTTGTCGTAAATCAGACTTTGCGCCATGATTGTACAGCTTTAGTCCATGCACAACGTGTGGAGTTGATCAGGAGTTGTTTTTTTTTAAACATGGATCAGAAATAGTTGACCATTGGGTTCCAACCCGCAACATCAACCACAACAGGGTATAGGGTCTTTAACGACCGGGCTGTCGCAGGTTCTGATGGTAGTTTATTAAATTGATGACATGTCACGACAGAGCATACAATAGCCCTTTTGTATTTGTGTAAAAACACACTGGTAAAATACTAGTAACCTCAGTTCGCTATGTACGTGGCAAAGTACTAGTAGCCGATTAACGCGTCTTTGGATTTTATCGCTTTCGTCGTGGTATAAGTCGCTACTCGTTATCGCGTGCTATGATTGTGGACGTCACAGTTGTAGTAAGTATCTTATAAACACACCCCGTCTTCAGTTTGTGATCTTGTTACAGGATATACTGGAAAAACTGTGACGTTTACCAACATGAACGCTCTCCAGGTCGTGTGATAAACCTAGTAATTAACAAATAAATGAAAAAAAAATCAAGCTGAAACCCTTTGTGTCAGCAAAATTTGTCCCTCAAATTGCAGGAAATAGTGTTTCAGAGGGTCTAGATTTCAGATCTCGCCCCTCATGCTAAATCTCGCGCTGCCGTATCTGGTCACAATCAATCAATCAATAAATCAATCAATCAATCAGATATGTTCATTCGAAATACATACTTTCATACACGTACCAACATGTAATAACACAATTATGAACTAAAATGTTCCCCTAAGACGAACTCACGTTACCACAATAGTAAGGCGTCACTAGTTAGGCTATGTTGTTCACGAGTAATTAAATCCTTCGCAATGACAATGTTTACCACGCTGTAAATACCAAGTACATCCTATTTAAAGTTAGTGAATACAAGACCCGCCCCAATGGAACTTGGCCGTCATTTTATACTGATTGAAAACATACCCAAATTTGAAAATCGTCGGCAAAAATGTGCTCTAGTCACAGTTATGTGCTCTCTTATCTCTCTCTCTCTTGCTCTTTATTCTCGGATAAGACAAACAATCTTATTATAGTTTTAGATGTACTTCAATTTCAGGTTATTTTCATCAAAATTATTATATATAATACTAGCCCTGCGTACAGTGCTGTGTGTACGGGGACGCGTTCGGTTGATAGATGTCTCCACCACAGCCCTGCATACCTCCATAGACAAAGTCCGGGAGCGCACCGTAATTGGTGCGCAAGTTAAACATAAGTAGTTTCCCAGCCGAAATCGGTGGAAATGACGATAGTTATCCGTAA